ATTGAGTAATCCATGTGTTCCAGGGTGTATTCCCCTGGAACAGACGTCTTCATAGTTCCAGGAGCTATTTAGGTCCCAGTCCCCTTTCTCTAAAAGGGTGGTCAGGATCTGAAAACAGGCACTGGCCACTAAGGGAGGTGGTATGTAGGACTGTGTACCAGCCTCCTTTCTATTATCTAGAGAAGTCTTAATTTCCTTTCATTTACAGTCCAAGTAAGGCTGCATTTTATATTTCCACAAAGTTGAACCTGATCATAGTTAATCAAATGGTCCGTGTCCCTGGCTGCCTGTGAAAATGGCTGGAAACTTTTCTTGACATGCCCTATGCATATGCAATAGTGAAATGTGTAGGACCTAGCAGCTAGGTTGGAAAACGCCTGACAAATTTCTTCCCCCCATTTCCAAGGAAGTAATAAGAGCAAGATAGAGACACAGAGACAAAGATAGTCAGACATAAGTGGACCTAAAATAATCCTGTGGGGATAGCCACAGGGAAAGGGAGGGTGTTATGTTTTAAGCTTGTGTGCCTAAAAACGTTACATGGAAGTTGTTTTAAGGTGGGTGGACAGACCTATCTTCTCTCTAGTCCCTTCCATGACCCACATATCCTTACACGGCAGGAGTCTTGTGGTGGGAAACACCCTGGTGTCTTACATATGCTTGACCCATGCCCACGTATGTTGCAGCAAGCAGGTCCAAAAGGTGACAGGCAAAGGGAGCAAAAGGGAGAGTAATGACAAGAAGTCAGGCAGTGGCTCTCAAGCACAAGTGAGATGAGAGGCTAAGACTTGCCAGGGAAAGGAGGAGGGATATTTGACCTCCCAATAATTCTCCTGGCTGGCTTACCACAGATGTTGCCAGAGGGTAGGTTCTTGTTTCCTCACAGAAAGAATTCAGAGACAAGTCACAAGAGGCCAAGTAAGCAAAGCGAGGATTTATTGAGAGATAGTAAACTCTCAGGAGGGAACACGGGCAGGCTCAGACAAGCTGAGGCTCAGCCCCTTTGAAATGACTAATGGTAGGCCCTTCTTACCCTCAGATATTTTGGTGGACACCGAAACCAGTGAGGTCACTAAGTTCCTAATAAATCAGGATAAGTCCTAAAGGTGATTTCAGAGTCTGGAAATCAGGTTTTGCTGGCCCTAGCCAAGAAACTCACCCCATCTCTCTTGAAGTTCATATCCCGTCCCTAACGCAGCTTCCATGCTTGGATCTCACCCCTCACATCAATATTTCTAACCAATACCAAGTACTCATTCCCAAGTGCAATGAGTCTAGCCTGTCTTGCTGCCTCTGCCCCTAGTGACCAGTGGAAGAGGGAGGGAAAACGCCAGTTGTCCGGCATTTACAATATGGCCCTCCTAAGGCCTACAGAAAAGTCCCCACACCTCACGACCCCTCTTGTAACGGTGGCCTCTCTCCTCAAGCCGCGTGGGTACACCCTCTTGGGCAAACCACTTACAGGAATGGCTCAGCTCCTCAGAAGTGCGCCAGGCGTGCACTGCCCCAGACGCCTGTCCCTCTGCGGCCTGAACATAAACCAGCTGCCTTCTCAGAATAACCCCAGCTCTCCTTCCCCTCCCCAGGATTGGCTGTGGCCTTGCCTTGGATAGATAAGGCCCTGCTTGCGGGACAGTGCACGCTAGGCCAGCTAAGTAATCAGATGAACCTAGGTGTATCCCTCCATAATATCCGCCACTCCTGAAGTAAGAGGCTGATGGGCCTCATCCTGGCAGCAACTGGAGCAGCTGTTGTTTGGTGGCCCCATGGGCGGCTTTGCCTACCTTGAGGCAATGTGTTGCAACCTGCCAGATATTCTGTCTCCTCTGGCCAGGACCATGGGGGAACCCCCTTTATTTCCTAGCAAGTGTGGTGATGGATAACAGACTGGCCCTGGACTATCTGCTAGCTGAACGGGGAGGGGTGTGTGCAGTAATCAAAAAATGTGCTGCACCTCCATCAACACCACTGGCCAGGTGGAAGAAGATATGCAAAAGATACACGAACAGGCCCAGTGGCTCCACACTTGTGGGAAGGGTGACCCCAGTGCCAGCTCCACATGGACTGCAGTCAGAGGGGTATTACCAAACATGACCTGGTTCCTACCCCTGCTTGGACCTCTGACTACAGTAATATTTTTGCTGATTTGGGGCCCCTGCCTTTTTAGTCTCCTGTTTGTTAAGTCTGTTTCTTCAGGTTACGACAGTGTCACCTACATGTGATGGTATGCCAGGGATTTCAACCCATCCTGCAAGAAGATGGGGACCATCAACACCCACTGGACAGGGCTGCAGCCTCCTTCTACTCCCCACTCCCCATCTCTGCCACTGTACATGACCCTGAGACCTCCTGTCTCTGACAGAGCAAGGTGATCTGGACCCCACTGGTAGGGACAATGCCCCTGCTCAGCTTGAAGCAGCTACGGAAGACGGACCGTCGACCCTTTGACCCTTAAAAGATTTTAAGGGTCCAGACTCCCTGAGGGGGGAGACGTTAGAGCAGGCAGTTAGCCAGACATGAGCAGAGGAGGGAGGCACAGGTCATGTGACAGGAGACCATAATACATCTTGCAATGACAGGGGTTCTAGGGGCAAACACAGAAAAGCGGGAACCTCCGGGCTGACAGGAGACCATATGTCTTGTGAAGACAAGGGTCCTAGAGGCAAACAAAGAAAGGCAGGAACCTCCTGGTCGGAATGTAACCTTTTGCTCATTATGCCCTCATTACAGTAGAATTAGCATTGCAACCAGAGCAGTACCCATCATGCACCGGCACCATGACAGATCCGAGCAAAGCCAAATAAGGACAGAAACTCCCCCTCCTCTCGGGAAGGTGGACCTGGGATGAAAACCAGGAAATTACTCCCCAAATCCCTCCCTCCTTGATGAATATTCCACCCAATCATTTTCACACCCCGTATAACCAGCTTGCCGAAAGGACTCACTGCTGCTCACCTGAGCCTGCCTGCGCTCCCTCCTGAGAGTGTACTGTCACTCAGTAAATCCTTTGCTTACTTGGCCTCTCAGTCTCAGCTCTGAATTCTTTCTACAAAAATACGAGAACCTACCCTCTGGCCGCACGAAGACAGCCACAGACAATTCATAAGCCAATCAGTATGGCTGTGTTCCAGTAAAACTTCATTTATAAAAACAGACAGCCAGCTGGACTTGGCCCCTGAGCGGGACTTGGCTAAGCCCAGATTTAGATCTTGGCATCTCATTTCTCCTACATCTCAACTTCACCTCCTAGATTATTTTAGTCGCTTTCTGAGGCTTTCCTGCTCTATTGTGTCTTCCTGGGGCTCCGGTTTGTACATTGCAAACTTCACTGGATGATGTACCATAGTTGAAACAAGTGTAGGATAATGTCTGCTGCTAGGTTTCCCATCTGTGTCTAGGATTTGATTGATTTTTACAGAAATATAGTTGATTGTTTGCAGGAAATAACGTTCCAGTGACTGTTAGGTATCTTTGCATCTGTGTTGTAATCCGTAGCATGGAGCCTCTCATCCTTAATATGTTTTGCATTATTTTATTACTATTACGTTTGACTATGTTGAGGCCCGGCTTCCAGTTCTCACCCCCTTGCATCTTTTGAATTTATCACTGTCAGCTGGCAGAGCTGAATGCAATCAGTGGATTTGGAGATGTTCCTAAGTGCCTTCTTTGCAAGTCATTTGTAAGAATAAGACCAATCTTAGCATTAGTTCCTCTGTACTTTTCTGTCTGCCTTTTTTTCCAGAACTGTACCCATTTAGTCAGACCCTTTGTTACTGTCTTTCTGAGCCACTTTTCTATTTCTTCTGAAACATTCCCCCAAATCTGTAGTGATTCAGTCTTTTAAATAACAGAAATTTAAGTAGATGTTACAGTTAATGTTTTTTTCCCAACGTATTCAACAGTGTGCTGGTGAAAAATTTCAAGACGTGTCATTTTACCCACTTGTATTGTACATGGGCTGTGGCATCTTTTAGTAGCGACTCTACGGTTCTTTGTGTAGTGAAAGCTGGGTGTGAAGAGTGAAGCTGGGAACAAATCTGCATTTCCTAGGGCGGGTCCATATTGGGTCTTGTCAACCCAGCGTCTCCACAGAGAGCTTGAAAATCTGTAAAAGTCCAAGTTGTGATCCCTGTGCAGTCAGTTCTCCATGTTAAACATCAAGACTTACCTGCCCTGCTATGTGCCTTTTACATAATAAATGTGTCAGATTCCTACTGTAATATGAACATATGGCCACAGTCTAGCTCTTGACAAGAGTCTCACATTCATTGATTGGTGAAAAATGCTCATGTGAAAGGTGAAATCATGAAGTAAAGGTTGACCTAATTGCATTGGGTTCAATGGAAAGAGCACTTGTACCATAGTTGAGATCTCACCTCAAGTCCTCTGCTAGGTGACCTTAAGCTGTTTACTTAACCTCTGTGCTTCCTTCTGCTTGCTTTGCAAGGTTGTTCTTATGTGGATAAAATGAGATAATTGAATTGAAAGGAGGTAAGAACATAAAGCTATACAAAGATGGTGACAGTCAGAATGCTGTCCCTGTATTCCTAAATGGACATTACAGCAGCCCTGCAGGTGAATGAAGTCGGGGTTCTGGCTGGACCCCGGCCACCTTAAAGGAAATTCTCTTCTTTGCCTTCTGTGCCTGCATTCACCCCCCCTTAGACTGTCCTGGAAGTCAGCAGTCACCTCGATGCCCCCTGTCCCTGGTACATACATTATGTGATCATACCGCTAGACAGCCTAAGGGCTGGGTCATGGGCTTGCCTGCTCACATCTCCCCATCACCAAGGCTGCTTCTTGGAAGGGACGTCTGGCTTAGTTCCTAGATAATTGGCAAAAAGCGAAGGGACTTGTAAAAAGTAAGCCCTCTGCAGGGTCTGCTGCTCCATTTGACCTCGCTATTGGTCCAAATTGCACATACATGTTGGGTTTTTTTTTTAATGGACTGATGTAAGTGTCAAGGTGACGTTTGACACTTCACTGCTCTAACATTGCAGAAAGTAAAGTTATCAGATGAGCCCATAGAAGCAAAAGAAGATTACACTAAGTTTAACACTAAAGATTTGAAGACTGTAAAGGTATGTGTCTGGGTGCAGCAGCAAATACTCTTGAATCCTGTGGCTGTTGCTGCATGGGGACTTCGAGGAACAATTGCATGCTTGATTGTGATTTTAACCATGAAGAATTATTACTTGCATTTCTGTGACTTAAGAATTAATTCAAAATTATGAATGGTGATGAAAGCGTCAAGCAAAGAAGACTTTGTACAGATAAAGAAAGGCAGTATACTTATTAGCAAGAGTGTGCCTCAACTTTGCAATATATTCAGAGTGATAGGATGGGGCAGAGGAAGGGGCTCCAAAGGTAATTTTTTGTCGACTCTCCTGCCCAGTAGCTTCCCAGAAATTATGACAATGACAACAATTATTAACAACTCCATAATTCAGCAACCACCCCAGCAAGTATTTTCATAACATTTCTTACTGATTTATCCTATACATCATCATATATATATATACACACACACATATAGTTTGGGGTTCTGCCTTTTTCATTTAGCTCTATATTGTGAAAATGTTCATGTCATTAAGCTTTCTTTGAAAAATTATTAATGGTTTTGTGATATTCAGTCATGTGTTATTTTATTTCACCACAGGGAATATATTTAATCATTCTCCTATTTTTGGACACATAGGTTACTTCTGCTTTTTTGTTTTTGTTTTAATGAGGTGATAAACATTCTCATTTATAGTCTGCATCTCTATTTCATTAGACACAATTTAAAACTAAGAGTAAAGGCTTAGAAAACATGAACTCTTTCCATGATTACTGGTATACATATATATAGCTAAAATGCTTTCCAAAAGTGTAGCAGAAATTTGTACTCCCAGCCGTTATTGCTGATGAGTGTTCATCTCACATTCTTGAAAACATCAAGTATTATTTTTATTCTTGAAAAATTTGCCTAAGTAGGCTACTTTAGGTAGAAAGGTTGTTTTTCCAAATGCTTATTGCCTATCTGCATTTTTGCAAATTGTCAGTTCATGTTTCTTGCCTGTTTTTATGTTGGGATAGTAATATTTTTCTTGTTGATTTGTAAGAGCTCATTCTAAATTCAGGCTATTAACACTTTTCATGACATATAGGGTACAGATAATTTTCCAGTTTGTTTAGGCTTTTCATTTGACTTTTGAACTATTTTAAGTTTATCTGAGGATTAAATATGGAAGTTTTTTATGATTTTCTCATTATTTTTATGCTTAGAAAGACCTTGCCTTGCCCCAAGATAGGTTAACTTCCACCTAGATTTTAAGAACACTTACTCTCCTTAGATTTAATGTTTTCTAAAAATTGTATTCTTTAATCTACATGTAATTTATCAGGGCATGGGCTATCAGGGGATAATCCAACTTGAGATTTGGCTAAAATAGCTGGTTATCTCAGTGCCTTCTGTAAGCAGGGACATTTTCGAGTTTCTCTTTGAGGAGTATTTCTGCCCCACCCTTCTAAGTGCTGCTTCCCATTGTATCCACTTGGGCACCGCACCAGTGAGATAAGAGGTTGGACCAGGATGTCAGTTAATTGCAGGGGATGGAGGATAACTTGTCTCAGAGACTGTCACTTTTCCCCATCCAGCCAAAATATAAGCCTACTAAATTATAAGTGACAGAATGTAAAAAGCAAATTTTTAGGGATCATATATTGACTGTGCCCTTAAAAGATACCTTGGCAATGGCTCTGTCTCACAGTTCCCAGAGAGACAGATGATTTTTTCTTTGCTGATTCCCATCATTTATGCTTTTGCTGAACACTGAAGTAAAATCAGCTGCTATTTCCCTTCTGCCAGTGCTTGTTATAGGACATGGCAAAACAAAACAAAACAAAAACAGTGACCAGGAAGAGAGAGAATTTTAAAAGGCAGAGTTATTTGGAGTCAGCTTTTTAGAAAGTATTTTTTTGTTGGAGGAAAAATGGGACAGCTATCCTGCTGGTCCTGGATGCTTTGCAATACAGGTTATCTTTTGAATATAATAGCTTTGTCCTTGCTTTCCCATAGAGCCTATGAATAAAATCAGATGGTAGATTGTTGTGAATTATTCATCATTTGGTAATACAAGGCTGTAATTCCTCCCTCTGACAATTGCTGCCTGTGTCAGTTCCATTGTTTGTGTTATTTCACTTAATACACCCTCCAGAATTATTTCCCCTAAAGTAAACCGTTGGTTGTAACATTCCACTCCTTAGAAGGCGGCAGTTTTGTCTCCTGCCTCTTTTAACATATTTTGTCTCTTAGATCTGAATTCTGAATAGAAATCAGAACTTTTAAGAAGAATCACTCCTTTATGAAGCATGTCAGCAGCAAATGCTTACCTCCCTTAACGAACCTTGAGACATGCATGGTCTTGTTTGATTTGCATGTATGATTTATAAATGTTACATTCATAACAATTTTTCTCTCTTATTTTCAATAACAGAAAAATAGCAAAATGACTGCAGCTCAGAAGGCTTTGGCTAAAGTTGACAAGAGTGGAATGAAAAGTATTGATTCCTTTTTTGGTGCAAAACATGTTAAAAAAATTGGAAAGATTTGAAACTTTGAAAATTAAATCAAGCAAAAATATTTGCCTTCTACATGTCCCATTTTCAGCCTTCCTCCATTCCACTGTACTTCCTAACCCTTAATTACCACCTTTTGAAAAAAAGTAGGAAGGGGGCAATTTTCAGATTCACTTGAACATTTCTTTGTGTTTGATTTTTGTGTTTTCCTGAACAAAATATGGGAAAGTAATTGTATAACTTCATGGCTTGTGGCCTTTGGAGTTTTGTTTGACATCATGAAAAGTAATCAAGTGAATAGAATTAACCTCTAGCATCACAATTTCCTCAATAAACTGATGTGTGACAATATTTGAGTGTATGCCTGTTATTTTATGCAACGTTGCACATGGTAGCTATAGCAATATGGTTTTCAATATACTGAGAGAAATATAACACAACTATCAGATAAACTACTACTTTTTAAAAGCCTTTAGTTTTGGGTAAATCTTTTGTTTAATGTATTTTCTGTTTTATGAATACATGTTCTTTGCAGAAAATAGAGAAAAGTATAAAACAAAAATTATAATCTCCCGACTTTTCATTACCTGGAGGTAATATGGTGTATTTTCTTCTATAATAATTTTTAAAGGAATTATAATAGTAATTTTATAACCTTTTTTCTTGACATCATTTTGTGAGCATTTTCCCAGGCTACTCTTCTTCATAAGTATACTTCTTTAATGACAGTAATTTTTAATTATTTGAGTATTTGATTATTTAATGATCATAGTCCTATCTTGGACATTTGTATTATTTTTAAACATTTGCTATTGGAAGAATCAGATTCTATGTAAATATTTGTCCGTATCTTTTATTGTTTTCTTAGAATGGATTTTTAGAGGTGGGCTTACTGATTAATAACTAAGGTTTTCAAATATATACTTTTGGGAATATATTTCACAGAAAGGTTATAGTATCTCGCACTCTAACAAATGATGGTATGAGTCCTTATCTTATTAGCTTTGAATAGTGTCTTTGCAAATAAGTGGAAAAAAGGCATGTTGGTGTGGTTTTAATTCACATTTTCCTGATTAATAATGTCGACTGAAAAAAACCCCACACAACCTGAAAGTTGAGAGTTATGTTTTATTCAGGGAACTTACAGAGGACTATAGCCTGGGAGGCAGCCTCTCAGATAGCTCTGAGGAACTGTTAACAAAGAGGTAAGAGAGAAGCCAGGATATGTAGGAATTTTTGTTGAAAAAAAAAAACATGCAGTCAAACATCAAAAGATTACTGCTAATCATACACACACAAAAAAAAACCCCAGACATCTCAAGTTAATGAGTTTAGTGCTTTTCTGGGTATGGGAAGATGCAAGAGTCTGGGCTCATTGAAATTACTCCTTTGATATGCATCTGAACCAGTATTCTGGTTCAGGGCCAGTATTCTGTTTTTCTCCATCCTGAATTCCCCTCAGGGCACACCGAGGTGGGGGGGCGGGTGAGGGGAAGCTCTGCAGAGGCTGATGGCTTGATGGTGGGCAGCATTTGTTGTTTTCTGAAATGGCAGGCAACATTTTTTTGTCCACAGTAATAATGTTCATTTTTTCACATTTACCTATCATTTGCCATCTTATAGAGAATTATTTGTTTATGGCCTTTGTTAAATTATTGGAGTATCAGTATTTTTCTTATTGATTCTAAAAAGTATTTTATAACTTAAAGACATTCATTTTTGTCCACTGTGTTCATTGTAATTTTTTTCCCTTGGTTTGTAATTATTTTCTCATCTATTTATTTTTTCCATTAGATTTGTAGGATCATTTTTACAGGTTCTAAGAGTAAATTCTAATGGGTTTTACTGAGATTTTGAAAGACCCATAAATTATTTTGAGAAAAACACATCTTTACAAAAGTCAGTGTCCTTATTCAGGAATATGGTATTTGTCTATATTTACTAAAATCCTAATCATACCTTTCACTAACATTTGGTTCTTCATCTTCATGTAGGTTCTAGATACTTCTTTTTAGGAGTATCTCTAGGTATTCTTGTTGCTATTAATGAAATCTTTTTTTTTTTTTTTCAGTTATATCTCCTAACTGGCTATTTTGTGGTAAAGTATTACATTTTTATATATTTATCCTTTAAATAACTAATTTACTAAACTATTAATCTAAATTTTAAAATTTTATTCATACTGGGTTTTCAATGCATAATAAGGTACATAATCTTAACTTCGAAAAATTTGTGTGCAGTTCTTTCTGATAGTTATAGTAGCTTTTATATCTTTTATATCATATTACATGGGTAAGACTATCTAGAACAGTATTGAAGAATAATATGTAATAGTAGTTATCTTTGCCTAATTTGTGATTTTATTAATGTGCGTTACCATCAGTTCTGACACTAGCTATTGTTAATGGGATAAAGAATATCTATCTTTGGTATTTCCTTTTATACTTAGTTTCCTTAAAGTTTTAATTAGTCATTGGTATTGGTTGTTATCAAATATCTTTTTGGCATCTCTTGTGCTGGTTGTAGAGTTTTTATCACAATTAAACTGTGCTTGAGTTCCTACACTAAACTCTACCTGGCAGTAGATAAAGGAGAGAGCATCATGGATGCTCCCTATCTGGTTTAACCATTGTCAAATCTAGTTCTCAATTAGGTTTTCTAGGCTTTTATTTAGAATGTTTGCATCTATATTCGAAAGCAATATTGCTATTAGGTCTTAGTGTTAGAATTCAGCTGGCTTTCAATCTTTCCCAGTATTCTGGAAGGAATAATTTTGCATAAGAACATTCTATTTCTGGAAACTTTTAAAGAACATCCGTGGTAAAACTGTCTGGCACTGAACCTTCTTTTGTCTTCTTTAATCTGGAAAAATTTCTCACCTATTCCTTGTCTTACTTGACCTTGACATTTTTGAAGAGCACAGGCTGGTTATTTAGTCGAATGTTCCTCACTTTGAGTTTGCCTAATGTATCCTCTTGATTAGATCCAAGTTTTACCTTTTGGGCACCCACAGAAGTAATGCTGTGCCTTTCTTAGTGCACCATGTCAAGAGTCACATGACCCAGTACTAGGGATGTTAACTTTGATTGCTTGATTAAGGTGGTGTCCACCGGGTTTATCCACTGTAGAGTTATTATTTTTCTCTTTGTAATTAATAAGTGATTTGTGGGCAAATACTCTGGCACTTTTAAGTATCCTATTCCTCATTCAGCATTCACTCACAAGTTTTAAAATAAAACTGATGTTTTTTCCAACTCCATCATCTCTTTTATATTTATTTATTTTACATTTATATTTATTTACTTTGGCATTTTTCTAGAAGGAAGGGCTTTCCCTTCTCTACTTATTTATTCATTTATGAGCTTATATCATCATGCACTTGAAGGTTATTTTATCCAGTGATTTAAATTACATTATTCTGTTCCTCATATTGTCCCAGAAGGGCCAGTAGGAGTCCCTTCAAGCTGCCTACTGTATCTTTTTGTTATGTTTCATTCATTTTTAAATACTTCATTACTTCTTCTGCAAGAGGGTATTCCAGACTCTTCATGTATTTTCCGTGTCCAAGCCCTGGAATCAGCCTCTTTCCCAAGGAGCCAGGGTTCCTTTAGAGGAGAATGGTATTTAGAAACCAAGACCCAGGCAAGAGGTGTGCTTGCTGCCACTATCGATCTGTGTGTGTGGTTTTTGTAGATTTCCTTTATCAGACTGAGGAAGTTCTTCTCAGTGAGAGTTTTAATCATGAATGGATATTGAATTTTGTCAAATAAGTTTTCTTCATCTATTGAGATGATCATGCAGTTTTCCTTTAGTAAAGGAATATATTTTAATATGTGAAGTATAATGATCGATTTTTGAATGTTGAACTTTATATTCCTGGGATAAACTCACTTGGTCTTTTCATATATAGTATTGTGTTTTATTTCCTAATATTTTATTAATGATTTTTTTAATCTCTGTTCATGAGGGATATTGGTCTGTAGTTTTCCTTATTTGTAATGATTTTGTCTAGTTTTGGTATCAGAGTAAAGCTGACTTTATTAAATGAGTTGGGAGTCTGTCATCACCCACTTTCTGAAAGCGTTTTTGTGAGATTAGTATTGTTTTTCCTTTTTATGTTGGACAGAATTCACTAGTGAAGCCATTTGGGCCTGGAATTTTTTTTTTTCTGGGAAATTTTTTAGTTACTAGTTCAATTTCTATAATAGATGTAAAGCTATTCTAATTTTCTTCTTTTTCTTGTGCCAGTTTTAGTAACTTATGTCTTTCAAGCAATGTATCTTTCATCTAGTTGTCAAATTTATTGGTATAACTTGTTTCTTATATTTTTATTATCCTTTTTATGTCCGTGAATCTGTAGTGATATTCCTTCTTTCATACCTGATTTGGTTGTGTCTCTTCTTTGTTTTCTTGATTATTTTCATTAAATTTGGAAAATTTCTGGCCAGTATTTCTATAAATTTTCTGTTCTTCACCCACCCACCCCCTTTTCTCTTCACCCTCTTGGCTTCTGGGACTCCAGTTACATGTATGCTAGACTACTTGATGTCCCACAGGTCCTTTAACTTCTGTTCTTCTTTATTTTCAATTTTACTTTGTCTTGTAGTGTTTTATTTTCTATAACCTCAGTGAATTTTTATTTCACATATTGGAATTTTCAGCTCTAGATGTTCCATTTGGCTCTTTTTTATATCTTCGCATTTCTCTCCTCATTGTGTTCTCCTTCAAGTAGTTCGTTAACAATAGCTGCTTAAATGTTTTTGTCTGCTAGTTCCAACATCTCTGACATTTCTGTGCCAATTTCTTTCTTTTCTTTTGTCTTTACTTTTTTACTTTGAAATAACTTTAGACTTATAGAAAAGTTGCAAAAACAGTAGAGAGTATACATATACCCTTCACTCAGCTTCCTCTAACCTTAACACCTTATATAACCAGTACAATTATGAAAAACAGGGACTTTACAATAACACAGTATTATTAACTAATCTACCCCCTTGTTTGAGTTTCATCTATTTTTACACTAATGTTTTTCCATTCCAGGGTCCAGTCCATCCTTCCACATTGCATTTAGTTAAGCATATCTCCTCTTTTCTGTAATGTGTCTCTCAGTCTTTCTTTATCTTTCCGTGACCTTGACACCTTGAGAGTACTGGTCAGTTATTTTGTGAAATGCCCCTCCATTTTTGAGATACCTTGAAATTGTGCTAATATCCTGTTTCTCATGTGATCATTTCATAATGCTAATAACTAATGATACTAATAACAACAAATACTGTCTAGCATTTATGTGCTTGGCACTGTTCTGAGCACTTTACGTATAATAATTCATTTAATCCCCACAGCAGCTGTAGTTGTAAGGCAGGGCGCCATAGGAGCCAGGAGAGTGACACCCAACCCAAAGGGCAAAAGGATGAGAGAAAGGCTACTTAAACTCTTGAATTATCACCCCTGTTGAAGGTAAGCTACTTAACAGCAGGAACTCTGTGCTATTCACCTTGTGTCTTGCACAGAGTATGCAGTTGGTAGATGTTGGTACACACTGGATAGGTTGGGCACAAATGTTGACTCTGTACTATTCACCTTGTGTCTTGCACAGAATATGCAGTTGGTAAATGTTGGTACACACTGGATAGGTTGGGCACAAATGTTGGATAGGTTGAGTATTCTAACCAGTGTCCTCACTAATTGAGACTTGATCTTTTTATCCCAAGGGTCAAAGTCATGATCTTGATCTATCTTGGTCTTTCAAATTGTCTAAGCTATTACATGACCTTCTTGTTGGTCCTTGAATATGCCGCACTGTTCCCATATCAGTGCCTTTGTGTGACTTGTTTATCTTTTATATCCTTCCTCCAGATCTTCACATGATTTGTTCCATCATGTCATTTCAAGCATCTCAAGCATCATTTTCTCAGAGATGCAATTCCTAATTCCTCACTTGCCTCCAATCCTCTCCCATCTTCCTGCCTCACCCTCTTCACAGAACCTTGCCTGACTAGGTCACAGTTATGTCCACAGCACCTAACATGGGGCAGCACAGAGCAGGCCTTCTATAAAGGTATGAGGTAATCAATCGATCAATCAGTTAGTCTGTACCGGACACCTCAGAAAAGTGTTCTGCAGTACAAAATGGGGTTCCTTGACATTTTATGGCTGAACTTTGGAATTCAAGTTTCATTCTGAGTGGTTTTCTGTGGTGCTCTTAGAGTTGAAGTTTAAGAACATATTCATAAACTCCTTGTAGAGGCTTAATAGAAATAGATATAATCTTTAATCTCTGGATAAAGGGCTGTGAATTTTCTTCTATCAGTTGATTAAACTTCACTTACTGTAGTCATTTTATCTGCGTCAGAACCTCTCAAGTTAGAATACATTGTTTACATCTGTGCTGTTAATAAATTTGCTTTTACATGGCATTTAAAGATTATTCATATAAAGCCCATAACCTAAATTATTGAAGTTTGAGAGTATATGTGGTCCATATACTCCTTGTCTTCACAGAAGCTTTTATTTTTTTCCAGCTTTATAGAGGTATAATTGACAAATTAAATTGTATATATTTAAAGTGTACAATGTGATGTTTTGATACACAAAGATTGTGAAATGATTACCATAACCAAGCTCATTAACATATTTGTCACCTCGCTTGTTTACCGTGTGTGTGTGAGATGAGAACACTGAAGATCTACTCTCTCAGCAAATTTCAAGTATACAATACAGTATTATTAACTATAGCCACTACACTGTACATTAGATTTCAGGAGCTTTAAATAGGAGCTCACATCATGACTTAGCTATAGATTAAATGGGAATCTGTGAAATCATCAATTTTGTTTTCTTCCATATTTGAGTTTACTTTTGACGTCAAGATACTAATCCTACTTGCAATGTGCAGTGTTAACTAGGAGTTGAATAGTAGTTGAAGAGTGAAAAACTAAAGGTGTTACACCTACCTGCCAAGTGCTATTCTGGGGAATAATATTAGGAACAAATCAATGTGGACTTTATATATATACATGCACAATATACACAAATTGACACACATGTATATACACACACACTTAAATACAAATACATGCACATATACACATATGCACCCACAAACATACATACGTATATACACACATACACGTATATATCCTATCCTTCCTTCAAATTTAAAGAATTTCAAACTAGAGACTTTTTAGACTTTATTACCACAGGTACAGTACCAAACATTGGGGTAGCGCAGAAAACTCAGATCCTTTGGCACTTTGCTTGTCTTACTTACATCATTTATCTTTTTGATTAATGTGCTGAGTTAGGGGAAAGTTTCAAAAGATTTCTGCAAACTCTAAAACCACTTGTGTACACACACAAGAGCCTCCATCATTTTCATCAAACCATTCGTATTTCTGAAACTGATCTCAGATTACCAACATCCTTTCCTTTTTTTGTGCCTGCTTTATCTTCGATTTAAATCTTCCTTGTACTTTAGCTCTCAGGCTCTTTCATCTTCCAGGTTTGTGCTTCTCGGGTTCTGACTCCCAAAGAGATTCCCCTCCATCAGGTTTAATGTGGATGTCAAGGGGGACTGGGTTTCATCCGTTCAGGTCTATTTTTAGTGCGCCGCCCTCCACTCCCACGCTCCCGTTTCTCTTACTCTTACTCGGGGCTTTAGCCAGACACAAAGGCAATTTGGCAGTGAGAAGCTGAAATGTACCCATTTACATTTACTAAATGTACAGTGTTTATACTGCATGCAAACTTATGATGACAATAACAGTAAACAGATGAAAATGAAGTGAAAATGAGCAACCATGTTTCAAACTAAACTAAAAAGTTTACTTTTAAAAAGTAAAATAGTTGGTCTAAAAAGGCCAATTAATTTAAAGGAGCTGGATTTATACTTGGTTGTAGTCCTAATCCTGCCTTAACTCTGACCCATGGACAAACCACTAGCATGGCTGACCCACAGTGGTGTCTTCCGTGTGAGATGAGACTAGATCATTGGGTTGTTTGATGTCCTGCCCTGCGGTCACTGCTGCTTGGGGCGCCTCATCTCCTCCACCCCTGTGAGGCTATGCCCTTGATTAGCATCTGTCCTGTGCTCACCCCACATCAGGCCCTTGTCTGAGCTCCTTGGGTGGATTCTCTCATCTGTTTGACTGGAAGCAAATACACCAACATGTTCACTCTGGCTATTGTGTTCATGTTATATATTTGTCTCTTTTCTTCATTTTCCATAGATTACATTACTTTGCAGTGGAAAGAACTGCAAAGAGCATAATTCTTAGAAAGTAATAACAAAGACTGGCAAAGTGCCTTGCAATTTTTAAGCACTTTTCCCATGAATTTATGTGTTTAAAATCCTTCCGGAAACCATGTGGCACAATTGGTATTATTTCCTCCATTTTACAGTTGAGAAGGGTAAGGTCATTTCATTTGCCCAAGGTCACACAGCTAGTAAATAACTGAGCCAGAACCTAAACTCAGGACTTCCGACTGCCGGGCTCTCCGCACCAAATTAACTCCCTTCCCCAGAGGCCCTAACTTTGACTTGCGTTGCATCCTGGGAAGTCACCCCTTCACCAGATTTGAAAGACAGCCTCTTCACATAGGTTAAGATTGACTTTCTCTGTTCTTAAAGTTGATCTAACTTAACTAGCTGCCTTGTATCACGTATTTTTTTTTTCCCAAACAGCCCTTTCTCCAGGACTAATCCAAGATTTGGAGATCTCCAGAGTTAGCTGCATTATACAGTTGAACCTCTTGGTGGAAGGCAAGGAGCTCTGAGTCTAGGAAGGCAAGTGAAAGGCCATTTGTTAGTGTCCTTGGACGATGTCCACAGGCTTTGACCTCATCTGAATAAGGCAGAAATGGTTAGATTCGTGCACCTTTTGATACAGACTTATACACTCCTCCAGTTTATATACTTCGCAGGGTCGTTAGACTGATGGAAAGTACCTTATGTTTAATAGTACTTTACAGTTTTTACAGCAATCCTGTATCAGTAGTTAAATTAATCTTTACAGCAACCTTCTAAGGTAGACTGGAGGGGGTGTATCCCTGTTTCATAGATGGTCCAAGTGAGGACACCCAGACTGTGAGTGGCCAAGCCCGAGGCTGCCCTTCCACCCTCAAGCCCAGCCCTCTCTCTTTTTTGCCTCCCCAAGGTTTTTATTGTTGTGTATATAGCTTTATGGCCATTTCTCCTTCAGTAGTCTGTTTTAATTGTGAATTTTATCCTAAGAAAGGAAAAATCAGATTTCTTCTGTTTCATCTTTTTGCTCTATTCATAATGAATTCTGCAGGTCAATTTATCCTCAGCAGTGCTGAGCCAGAATTGAAGCTTCTACTTAGCTATTGCATTTGCATGCCAAGTCTTTAATTCAGCTGTCAGCTTTTTAGCATTTACTGTACTTTTGTTAATAAATGTTATTTTGATGGTCTCACACTAATCAAGCCTATTTGAGACAGGGAGGGGCGGAGGGAAGCACCGAATGTGATTTACAGAAGAATCAGAGCTTCTTTATGGATGTTAAGAGAATTGTTACCTTACACATGTGCTTTAATCAGAATGTGTAAAATTAAAGTTAGTCAAGTTATAAGTTCTTTCAAAAGAAAAAAGGAGCCAAGGAATAAGCTTAGATTCATTTATTCTTTTAAGAGCATATACTGAGCACCCGCTTTGTGCCAAATGTTGTTCTAGGCACTAGGAATGCAGCTGTCCACATGGCAAAAAATACCTGCCTTCGAGAAGTTTCTGCTCTGGGGGGCGGCTAGATGGAGTGTCAGATATTGCCGGGGGCTGTGGAAGAAGCTGAGCAGGGAAGTGGACAGAGTTCTGGTGAGGCGGCTGGTCAGGGAAGGTCTAACCTCTGTCACATCTTATCCACTTATGGCATAGACGTCTGATTTCCATCAACTTCTTTTTTTTTGATACCTTATAGCTCCAGAGTAAATTGTTTGACTTTGTGATCAGTAAGAAACCAGCTTTCAATAATTACACTTGTTCCATGGCATTTTTCAGGAGGATATTAAGGACTACTACTTCCACCAGCAAGTCTATATTTATTTTTTATACATTGGATCTGCATAGGAAAAGAGAAGAAAACATGGTTTAAGAATTATTCACCTTAGAACTTTTTTTCATCTGTTTCTTGTATTATCATTTTTTTCCTAAAATGAGGGTATCTATTCCCTGAGTTTGGGCAAGCTTAACATTATTTTGTATTTCACTCCCTTTGAACACTGGAAGGAAAATGTGCGTCTCACCCACCTCCAGGAGCCTAACATTAGCCCTAGAATGAGGTCGCCCCAAAGGAAACCGCTTCCTTTGCCTGAGGGCTTCTCTTTTTTATTTATTTATTTTTGGCTGCATTGGGTCTTCGTTGCTGTGCACGGGCTTTCTGTAGTTGCAGCGAGCAGGGGCCACTCTTCGATGTGGTGTGCAGGCTTCTCACTGCAGTGGCTTCTCTTGTTGTGGCCAGGCTTCAGTAGTTGTGGCACGTGGGCTCAGTAGTTGTGGTTTGCGGGCTCTAGAGCACAGGCTCAGTAGTTGTGGTGCGTTAGTTGCTCAACAGCATGTGGGATCTTCCCTGACCAGGGCTCGAACCCTTGTCCCCTGCATTGGCAGGTGGATTCTTAACCACTGTGCCACCAGGTAAGTCCCAAAGGCTTCTCTTTGAAGCACAAATGCACAGCTGCTGATCTCAGGACTAACCCAACCAGCCTTGCTTTTCTGTTCTGGAAGGTGCAGATGGTCCTCGGGATTGCAGGTGACTGCTTCTCCTCACCAGGATACAACATGTATGCTCCTTCTCTCCCTAGGTGGCAGCACAAAGACAGAAAAGGGACAAGTGACAAAAGATCCACGCAAGACTTGGCTGCTTCTCACGTGATTTAAGACACTCCCAAAGGGCTAAAACTTTTTCTTCTGCACTTCCTAGAAAATCACCAACTGCCAAGAGATGTAAAGGACTAACCAGGAATGTTTTATTTCTGTGATCAATACCGCTAGTCCCTTCAGGCAGCAGCAACTCCCCCTGGAGGCGTCTGGCATGGAACTAGAAAGCACCCCTAGTGTGATTCTGCCCTGAGGAATTCAAGCCATATCACCCCTCTGCCCCAGCCTACCCCACCATAAAGGTATGGGTTTTTAACAGTCTGGTGCTTCAGATTTCAAAACATTGGGAGGAGACGGCTCATTGTGAAAATCGGGTCATTTCTTAAGCTGGACCCTGTTGGCCTGCTGTTTTCCTGGGGTCAGGACAGCACTTTTAGGTTTTCATGTGGTGACTGTAAGTACTAGATTCCACACCAGAAGACTTGACAGACCGAGTTTCTACCCTTATTAAAAAAAAGAAAAAGGGGGAATTGCCGGGAGGACCAGGGGGAGTAGTCAGCACGTTCACTGCCATGGCAGGGGTTCAGTCCCTGGTCAGGGAGACAGGATCCGCAAGCTGCATGGTGCAGCCCCCCCCCCCCCTCAAAAAAAGAAAAAAGAAAGCCTGCCCTTTCTTTACTCCTTATCAGTTTGGCAGCTTCTAGTTCATAACAATACCTGAACATGTGCATTTTATGGTGTGCCGGAGTTGTAAACATTGCTTCATTTTTAAAAGATTTGTCCAATGTGTGCATTATTGTAGTTATTTAGAGTGCGGGCATAAGATATGGGGGAAAGTTAGAAGTAGATGCCAAAAAGTAATTTAGCAGGGAATTCTGATGCATAGTGAAGACGTTTAGGGGGCGTACGCAGGTTTTGTGCAGACAAGTCCAGGAGTTTGTGCTGACTCATCAGCTTGACCTGCAGGAGGATTCGGGTGGAAGCCACTCGGGTGATCTTCATGCCTCCAACAGGACCCCAAACCTTCTCTTTGGGAAATAATTTTGTTTCTGAGTCTCTAACTAACTCCATCAGGTAAGTAGGTTTTGGAAAGTACTCTGTAATTTTTTACACACCTCCTTTCACACAGGGAAATTTTCTTTAATCTGTAGGACCTTTAACACTCCCGCGCTTCCGTACCTGATCGTGTGGTGTAGTTGTAGGGAATCCTCGTCTCCAAAAACTGAATTCTAGGAGTCAGTTGTGGAATTCGGGATGTCGCACAGGCTTCCAAGAGCGAGCACTCCAAAGAAATTTCCTGTTTGATTGATAGCCAGGCCACGTGGGTAAGAATCGAGAGCCTGACACATAGGTCGGCATAACACTGTGGTGTTAAAATTGGGCTTTTTCTGCCTTCTCCTTGCACGATCCCAAGTACTGTCCTTGGAGGTCAGTGGACATATATTTTGGCCCAGAGCAACTTCGGGGTGTGTTGTGTGTCTTTGAGCAAATTGGTTCTCCTTTCAGGACCACATCTCAGGGTGGGAGAGAAAACTGGCTTGATGCTGACTCTCCCCTCCTCCTGGAAGACTCACCCCTGGGAAACCTGTGTGGGCACTGTGCTCCCACTTGTGTGAGGCTCCCCCAATTTGAGAAAGACTTGGTGGAACAGTTCTGTGTCTTCTACTGGCTCCACTTCTCGGCTGTGTCTTGGCCCTCTGCCTCCCCTCCACCACCCTCTCGGCACACACACACGCTCACACGCGTACTCACTGCCTCAGATTTCGTCCAGCCCTTGGTGGCCAAAGCCACTGGATCCTGAGGACACCCAGGTCGTCACTGGAAGCCCTACTCTCTTACCTGTGCCCCAACCTCATATTCCACTGGCCTCTGAACTTTGAAGAACTACTAACATTTCAAATGCAGCACACCTAACATTACAGAAATTCATTATTGTTTTTTCTCTACACAAGTAAAGATGCTTCCTCCAAAAGTTAAAAAGAGAAAGCAAGAGCTGTTACCAGCCTCACCCCCACCCAGGCTCCTCTAGGAACTGTCTCCTTGGCCCTGAATAAGGTCCTTTTAGTTACCCAATTTCCAATATCCAGTTTCCTCTATCCTTTTTCTAGCTGGCAGCCCTATAGTCACTTTTCATGCAACCAACTTCATTGTTTTATCTAAGAATCAAATCCTGTTGATTCCTCCTTCAGAAATACCCCCCAGGACAGAAATGCTTCCCAGCACTCTCACATAAACCCCCTCCCTTCTGCAGCCAGCTGCCACCAAGCATCAGGTTTCCCACCTGATTGTCAGCTGTCTTGAGGGCAGAGATCACATGGCCCAGGTCTCGTCACAGAGCTGAGTGTTTTGTGTGTTCCACGAAAGCACGTGAGTCATTGATGCACAAATAAAACGAGATGCTTGGGCTTCCCTGGTGGCGCAGTGGTTGGGAGTCCGCCGATGCAGGGGATGCAAGTTCCTGCCCCGGTCCGGGAGGATCCCACGTATCACGGAGCGGCTGGGCCCGTGAGCCATGGCCGCTGAGCCTGCGCGTCCGGAGCCTGTGCTCCGCAGCGGGAGAGGCCGCAACAGTGAGAGGCCCGCGTACTGCAAAAAACAAAAACAAAAACAATAAAACGAGATGCTCCTTCTCTGTCAAATTGTCAGTAGTGCTCAGAGCTGGAGTAGCTGTGGGAAATGGGCACTGCTAAGGAGAATATAAAAAGGTACAACTTCTGGGGAGGCCGGGTTGGAAACAAATGTCAAAAGCTTTAAATGTTTGCACTGCCTTTGCTTCAGCAATACCCACTGTTAGAAATACAGGCTTAGGAAATAATCATGAATGTGTGCAAAGCATTAGCTATAAGAGTATTCGTTGTGAGACTATAAATAGTGAATAATTGGGAAAAAAACTAAATTGGAGAGCTGAGGGAAATTAGCTTTTAAAATTGGTGTTCAAAGTATAAGTAATTTCTCTCTCTTTTGTCCTTTTTTCTTCTTGTTTGTCTCATGTTAGAAATTTTTATGACAAACATATTACTATTACATTAATACAAAAATAATAACCTTAAAAATACTGGGTATATTTATACCATGAGTTCCTTAAATTTTTTCTTTCAAGCTTTTTTTTTTTTAGTTTTTAAAATTAAGTTTCTTGGAGAAAGAATTGATGTTTCACTATTGTGTGTTTAGTATTCAAGTGTATTCTTAGCAAATCTATAAGTAATCACTTAATTACTCTTCTTTCCTCAAAGCTCTGACAGTTTCAGATCCCTGCCATTGCTTCCTTGGCTTCACTTACCCAGTCAAAACTATGTTTTGCTTTAAACTGTATGCATTTGACATGTACCCGGATGGTGAAATTAATTAATTTTGCTCTAAAGATTTACTAAGAGCCCCAGAAATCATTGCAGATACTCTGGGGTATTTCACAACCAGACTGAGAATTACTGTATCTGTCTACAAAACTGAGGTGAAGCAAAAAAAACATGACTGATTAAAGAAAACACAGAAAATAACCTGACATTTGTTGCTACTCGCCCTTTTCTGGTTTTCTTCCCTAGCACACAGTAACCAAATTACTCAACTTCGAAGTAAGAACTGAAGTCCCTATCCCACCACCCCCTGCTTCACTTCTGACTTCTCGGTGCTTTCTCACTGCTCTTAGGGTGAAGCCCCACATCCTCCCCATGACCTGCAAGGCCTTGCCTGCCAGAACTCCAACCCTTCCATCTCGGTTACAGACACACTACTTTTTTTTTTTTCTGGCTCCACGGCTGTTAGACCTGCTGTTCCTCACCTAGAAGGTTCTGCCAGCCCTTGCGAATTAACTAAGTTCTGATCTTTCCGAGTTGGCCATGGGAAGCCTTAGGGAGGCTCAGCTGACCTTCCAGGCCAGGTCAGACTCCCTGCAGCAGCTCTCCTGGCAGCCAGTACATCTCCTTCCTGGAACTTTCACAGAGACGTGGTGATATTTGTACACATAACGATTAGACAAATGTTTCTCTCTCCAACTACACAGAGCTTCAGGGAGGCAGAGACCGTTTCAGCTTAGCATTTCTGCAGCAAACAGGTCACACAGCAGGGCTGAGACCACCTTCCTTGCCTGCTTGCAGGGTTGGACCTTGGTTGATGTCTAGAACCTTGGCTTCTCACACTGAGATCCTCCGAGCGGCCCACTGTGCCCCAGATGGCACAAACAATGTGGTGTATGCTGAACACCTGCTTTTCTACTGGGGCGCTGGAATTTGGGAACGTGCTGGCCAGGGGGTGCTCACGTGATCAGCCCCCAATAAAGACCTCAAGCCGAAGTCTCCAGTGGTCTCCCAGACAGTCACTGCCTGCCTATGGCCGCACTTGGCTGGGGGTGCACTCTGCGTGACCCCTCTCGCGGGGGCGGGGGGAACGAGCCTGAGGAAGCCTGCACCTGATCCTTCCCACTCCCCTTTCCTTGTGATTCGCCTGAGTCCTTATCACACAGCTGTGATAAACCTTGGCCGTGAATACAACTGCATACAACTGCTGTGAGTCCTCACAGCAGAGAGCGGTATGGTCAACACACCATTGTATCCCCAGAACCCTGCACGGTATCTGAGATTTCGTAAATGATTTACTACCTATTTTCTGAAAGGAAAATGAAAATGATCTCAGAGGGCTAGGGCTAAGGCTACCCTGTGGAAATTCTCAAAGGAACTAAGAAACAGAACTTATCAACTACATTCTAATAACCCAAAGAATGTACATACTTCTAAAAACGGCAGAATGAAATTGATTCAGGAAAGTTAGCAATGTCAGAGCCTGTCAGAATTTCTTTCTCACAAAGACGAATGTTCTGGATCTGTGACAGGGCTGGGGAGCCATGGGCCAGGACTTGCACACGGCTCCCCCCATGAGGTTTCCAGCTTTCCTGTCCCCTCCCTCCTTCACCATGTCTGTACACTGTCAGCCCATTGGACCAAGCAGAGTGACACTCAGTATTGGGAGCAACGCAACTTTGGAATCATCTGGAAGCCTTAAAAAAGACATGCTGGGACCCCACCCCTAGAGATTCTGATATAATTGGTGTGCTGTGTGGTCTGGGCACCAGGACTTCCATGTGCAGCCCCTCCTGATACCCTCACTCCCCTTCTTTTCCTCTACTGCCCCATCTCTACCTTGACAATTGTATTTCCCAAGGTCCAGGCTCCCACTCAAGGCCAATCTCTTATTTTTTGGAAGACTTCTTAAAATTTCTGTTCTCAAAATTACTGTTTTCTGCCAATAGGCAGGCACACTGATCAGAGGAAGAAATAACACCTTTTATCTCAACAGTACCGGAGGGGAGCCACTAGGACAAGCAGGCGGAACTCAAAACCGTAAAAATCAGAGCCATTTCAGAGCGGGTCATGACTAAGAACATCCCGACAGTGCGAAGTCATTCCTGAGAATGTTGTTTTTAACAATGATCAGCCGTCTACACCACCACTCGGCTGCCCCCTCTCCCCCATGCATGCTTCACTGACCTATCAAATGAAGTTAATTTTATTTTGAATATTTGATAAGAGCTCATTATCCTTGATTAGGGTGCGCATGTCACTTACTGCCTTTGGGAAGCACTCGCCTCCAGGAAACGTAAACTCATCCATTGCCAGTTTTCCACTCTTCTCTGGGGAAGACAGCCGACTCTGAGATGCATCAGCGTTAACTGGCAGAGCTGATGGTGATTTCTCTCTTCTTTGTAGCACCCAGCAGGGCTGCTCAGGGAATCCAGTGGGTGATAAACTGGGTGAGGAGGGTTATCTAGGTCTTGAAAGTCAGCAGAGGAGTTTGAAGT